TAAAATGCAAACCCATTTTCAGATCCACACCAATGGAATTTAGTAGAGAACTCCTGCGGCTCCTCAAGCACGCATAGAAAGCAACCGTTCCCGAGATCCTCTCCCACAACAATGCTCCTGACATCACTGGAAAAGTGGCTTATATAGAGGTGTTCACAGAGTGCTGAGAAGCTGCCTGAAGTTTTTGTTTAACTCAATATCTTTCCTTATAATGCCAGAGAGCAATTACTGGATCACAGCATGAAAAACACAATGGCAGAGACATTTTCTTCACTCAGAAGGTGATTCAGCGATCAAAGTTTCTTTTGTTTCTATTTTAGGGGGGAAAAATCACTGCTTTCAGCTGTCTAAAGCTGACATTCCCAAGGTATATTCATCATGGCTGTCAGCTGCAAAGGTCTCTGCAGTTCTTTCCTTCTCCTCACATTCTTTCCTCTCTAAACAACCCTGTGAAACGCCTGACAACGCTGCTGGAACGTAAGCAGGACCAGGAATTGTGCCTAAGGAGGGCTTTGCCTTTTGCAGCTGTGAGCAGAGCACATGCCATCATCCCTTCCCTCACACAGATGCCATCCCAAACACACACACGGGACACGAGGCAGCAGCCAGGCCAGATCTGGGAAAAAAGGTCCGACTGCTTCTTCCTGGAAGAGCTGCCCTCGGCAGAGCCATGGATGAGGCTGGCAGGGGTAGCTGCAACGTGTCACCAGGATTTCTGCACGGGACGTACGGGCTGGGGACAGCGAGGACGGGGACGGTGCTGCCTGGGGGATGAGCCTTTCGGGAGAGGAGAAAGCCAAGAGAAAAAAACACAAGTTTTAGGTCATTAGGCTGGACATGAAGAAAGGGGCTTACTGCACTGAGGGGTTGGGCACAAAGACTCTCTGCTGCAGAAAAAGAGAATCTCAGTGCCAATATTCCAGAGAGAGCGGGGTCGGGAGCTCCCAGCTTTGGACTGGTCTGAAAGCAGGCAGTCACCTACCGGGGGGCAGGGGGCAAAGACAAGGGCAGCAAACTGCTGGGGTTCCACAAAGGCCAGTCTCAGGTTGGGGACTGAGGTCCAGGATATGTTTATACACCGTATCAGTAAACACTGTGTAAAAAAATATGGGTAATAATACTAAATACAGGGCTAATAACTCACCATACCGACTTCTAAACCACAGATTTTCTCTGAAGTTTGGAAGACTGACAAAAATTCCCTCAGAAAAAAATCTGTTGCTCTTCTCACCTAAGAATAATCAGATGTTTTTCTGTCAATTAGCATGTGCTGTGTATCTATTAGTGCAATCTGGTTCTCTGTGCCAACCAGTTGTACTTCACTCTATGACAAACACTATTTCTACGGCTTGCACTGTGTTTTTCGAAAATATAAATACCCTTTCAGCACGCTTTGTTTCCAAAGCAATAACAGCAAAAGGCGGATACCAAACCACCAGCAGAGCTCAGGGCTCCATTTAATCACAAACAGATAATGGGAAACGCGATGAGAAGCAGCTGCTGAGGAGCTGGCAGCGACACCCCCACGGCATATGTCAGGGGGCACGAGGCAGCTGCCCGGGCAGGGGCAGGCTATTTCCAGAGACCGCTCGGAAACGTCACTGTCGGTCGCTTTTCTGGCGAGACGTGGCAAGAGCAAAGCGGCACCTTCTTCCCAGCACAACTCCTCAACAATAAAGCGTGAAGCTGGAAACGGCCACCACAGACCCCCCGTGCTTCCCCTCGGAGAACTGCCCAGCAGTGGGACACACACCCCCAGCTTGTGCAACAGCCTCTGCCCCCGGCCCCCTGCACGGGGACACCTGACAGGAGAGCGACACAAACTCCCGGGCAGCAGGCACTGAGCAGGCCCAGCAGCGGGACACACACCCCCAGCCACCCCCAGCTTGTGCAACAACCTCTGCCCCCGGCCCCCCCAGCACGGGGACACGCAACAGGAGAGCAACACAAACTCCCGGGCAGCAGGCACTGAGCACAGCCGTATTTTAGGAAAGTCACACACAAGCATCAGGCAACAACAGCCCAGAGGGTTATAAACTGCAAAACACCCAGCACATGGCGCTGGGCTGGGCCTGCCTGCCCAGAGGGTTATAAACTGCAGAACCCCCAGCACATGGCGCTGGGCTGGGCCTGCCTCTATCAACACGCTGGTTGGAATTTCAGCTCCAAACTTCGGGAAGCTTGTAAAAACGAAATAGTTCCTTTGTTTTAATTAACCTGTTCTTTGAATATAATCCGTGAGAACAGGTGTGTTCTGCATACGAATTCAACTTTTAAAAAAAAACAAAACACCACTTCAGAATATAACACCACTTTAAAAAAGATCCCACTCATAAAATTGCATAGGCACACAAAAAGTGAACATTGGCACCCATTCCAAGAGATTAACTTAATTAATAGCTATTTTAACTTCAGTTCTCAAATTTGCAGATTATCCTCACAACAACTTCCCAACATCAACATTTGAATCCTCTCTCAGATTGCAGACATTCATTAATTTACATGAGTTTATGGCATATAAAGGCACCTAGTTCACTCCAAAAACACATGAGTGCACAAGAGTGGGGAAAAACAAAAACCCCAACCCCCTGCCCCATACACAAACACTAAGGTAAGAACAAGACTGAGTGCTTCTGTCACAGACTCCAAACACTGGGTTGGGAGGAACCCCCGGGGGTCACCTGGCCCAAACCCCTGCTCAGAGCTGGGTCCCTTCCACAGGCAGATGAGGCTGCTCAGGCCCTGGCCGGTCTCACAGATAATCTGAATTTCCTGTGCTGAGCTCGTGGTGACCGAGCTCGGCTGTGCACCACTGGGCAGCGCCTGTCCCCCGGCTGTCCCACACCCACATCCTCCATGGCTGACAACATCCAAAATGTAGACATTTAAAATTTTACCATTACACATACAGCTCACCGTAACGGCAACATGATGCATGAGAAAAAGCTGGTAAGAATACTGAGTTTCCACTGATTTTTTTATTTAACTTTTAAATTGATGTTTCTTGTTCAAAAATTCCTAGAAGCTCAGGTCATAGACCTGATTCATGACTAGTAGCTGTCATCAAGATTTAAGCAGGCTCAGGCCAACGGTGTGACATAAAACCTCCTCTCTCGGTTCAGTAACGGAATGAAGCCAGTGTTTACTTGAAGCTGAAATCAGATTTCAAGGCACGGGGCGTAGTCTGCTGTTGATCTATGCCCATTCTGCTCATAGTGTGCATATATTTAAATTTCATATTTAAATAAGTTTCTGTTGCTAATGCAAAGCAATAAAAAACCCTTCAAAAATAAAAACTTCAAGACCGAGTTCCTTTCAAAAGGAAATTAATACCATTTGGATTTCCATTAGTGAAATACTCTTCATTTCTTGACACAGAAGTTTCAGGTATCCGTAGAATTACAACACACACAGCATTAATTTTATATATGGACATAGCTGGCTAATCACTATGGGCTGAATGTGCAAGTCAACCAAAAAATAAACCAGAAAACTTTCAACAGACAAGCAGGAGTTTTGCTAAGCACAGAACTTGCCCAACGAGTTCTCTCTGCAGAGCAGAGACTAGATAATGAAAGGCAGCTAATACCCACTTCCCTTAAAAGATTACTTTCCTATACCTACAAAGGAGACACACTCAGAACCGTTAGGTGAAAATTATTTCATTTAAATTTTTTAATACATAATACATTGAGTAAAGAATAAACAATGCAAATCAAATAATCAATTCATCAATGGACAAAGACATCATACCCAAGAAATTAAATAAACAAAACTTAAGTTAAATGCCTCTCTGTATGTAGGGTATCAACAGGAAGAGGCTGGGAGCCAGAGCAGAAATCCCCTCCGAGAGGAACCTCACTGAACTCAGACAAGCCACGTCCTTCTGCAGAAAGAGCCCGAGGCACCTCCAGGTGAACAGCAGTTCCGTGAGAGAGGAAGTCTCACTGCAGAGCACTTTATTTAGCGTTATTTATCACTAACAAGACTCTTACTCCGTAAGGAAGAGGATGTACTTCTTTTCTCATTTGCATCCAAGATCACCACTAACCAAGCCTCCATTCATCAACCGTTTTGCTTTCATTTCCCACAACCAACGTGATTTAGGAAACACCCCTCAGATTTAAGACACGCCACTGTAGGCCTGTTACCTTTATGAGCACTTCCCTAGGAGCAGTCAGGGCTCTGCAGTTTACGGTGTATCCCCAGGGCAGGGGTGGGAACCACCTGAGCTCTGAGGTCCCTTCTGACCCAAACCATTCCGTGATTCTGCTATGGCTCTGCGGAACTTGAAAGCCAAAAATATATCCATGTAGGAGTCTGGGGAAAACCACACAATTAATTTTGATTTCTTTCTGCTCTTTGGGATTTAGCAGTAAAAACTGCATCTTCAGAGCTTGCAGTTCCTATGCTGATTTAGAAAAAACCCAAATAGGTATAATAGGCCAAAACTAAACAGAGCATCACTAATAGTCACAGCTTACAAGACAGCAGCATGCATCTCCACAGCACACTGCCAGGGAGGGCTGTGACCTGAACACTTCAATTCTCTAAGGCACCAGGTGTGTGCAATTATACTCTATTTAGAGACACCAGCTGTATTTCCTGACACCATCACAGCTCCACCGCCACCTGGGCTTCAAAAACCCAGGCGGGGGCCAGGCCCTACGGGCTGCCTACCTGAAGGGGACTGTCCCTCATGCCCTTCGGGTCCCCAGATTGCGCCCAGACCCTCCGTAAGCCCCCGGGGAGGGGAGGCCAGGCCAGGCCGGCTCCCCGCGGCTCAGCTCCCCGCAGCTCAGCTCCCCGGGCCGCGGGCGGTGACCCCTGACCTGCCCCCGGCACCGGCTGAAGGAGCAAACGGGCAACAAGCGGGTTCATCTTTTTAGAGACCATCACAATTAAACATCCAGGAGGGGAAAAACATAACCAAAAAAAGCCACCCTAAAAATAAATCAGAAGCCATATCAACGCGGTCGCTTCCACGGCAGTCCCCGGCCGGAACCGAGCCCGCTATGGCGGTGCGGGCCCGCCGCGCCCCTCGTCGTAACGGTGAGTTCGGAGCCCCTCGCTCCCCGCCTGCCCGCCGCCGCCCGGGAGGCGCCTCCGCGGCCCGGACCGCCTCATCCTCATCCTCCTCCTTCCTCCTCCGTCGCCCCCGCCCGCCCCGCCGGGC